TTATTTTCTTAATTGATTAAACTGCCTTTTTTCCTAATCAATGGATTAATTATTTGGATTATAAAAAGTTAGGATACTGGCAAGAATTCCCATCACAGTTTTCAAAAGTCCAAAATAATACATTTATCAGACCAATACTAAAAGAACTAAAGATTCTTAGTTTACTATCATTAATTTCCGTAACCGCTTATCCTATTAGGGGGTAGCGGGGGGGCTGGTGCCTATCCCAGCTGACATTAGGCGAGGCAAGGTACACCCTGGACAGGGCGCCAGACCATCACAGGGCTGACGCATAGAGACAGACAACCATTCACTCACTAATGTAGAGTCACCAATTAACCTGCATGTCTTTGGATTGTGGGAGGAAGCCGGAGTACCCGGAGAAAACCTATGCTGACACAGGGAGAACATGCAAACTCTGCACAGAGGGTTCGAATCCTCCACCCCAGGAACCCTCTTGCTGTTAGGCAACAATGCTAACCACTGCTCCACCGTGCTGCCCAAAAAGACAAAAAGGCAGAAAACCCTCAAAGTTTAAGACTTGTATGAAGGAATGATTTCACATTTCTCAAAATATTTTAGATAACACTGCTATCAAAATATTTTTTGAATTATATTTCTGTCAATCAATTCATCAGTTAAAGGGTAACTGATATGGTATATTTCAACCTGGACCCTTTTATCCTATGTTTTTGTGTCTCAGTGATGAATGGTGACAATTTCTGAAAAGTGAGACATCGGCCAAACATGCTGCAGTGTAACCACTCCTGGCATTTGTACATCGTAAACGTACCTCTCCTCAAAGAGCTTGTTTTTGCCACTGACAGGTTCAGATTGTTATCCCAAGTGTCTGATAACATTCTAGAAAGGATCACAAAGACAGACCTTTTTGTTAAATAGTAAGATCCTTTTTTATTTAAGTAGAAACAGCCCCGAAATTGCTATCACCAAACCCACCAGACCCTATTTAAATATTAAGTAATTTTGTAATTGGGAAAAACATTTCATAAAAGCTGACAGAAACAAAATAGAATGGACAAAAGCTGTCTGGTTTGTCAAACCATCACCAGTTCTGGTTTGGCTGAAATAAACCCTTAATTCACCCAGTTTGATGCAAAATTATGCTGACTCTATACACACTAAAATTACAGTTTATTTCAATGGAATTTGGGGCTGTTTCGGGTTAAACAAAAAGGATCTTACTCTTTAATAAACAAGGTCTATCTCTGTAGGAATTCTTTCTATAATGTTGTCAGACACTTCCTTTCAATGGCAAAAACAAGCACTTTCAATAGATGTAAATTGACGGTGCACAGATACCCTGAGTGGTTACATAACAGTCTGTTTCGCCGCTGCCAGCTGCAGTCCTGTCGCTCAATACTGGCCCAACTTAAAAAACTGTTGTGTCACTTAGACACAAAAAAAATTAAAATAGGGTCCAGGTAGAAAAATACCAGAGTTACCTTTCAATCAGCTAATTGTTTCAACTCTAATTACGTTTTTAAGCAGCACTGCCCAGTTGCTGTACTTGAACACAAACAAATGTCTCTCATGGCAGGTGTTGTCTACATATAGACATTTACATTTACCTTATGCACTCAATTAGAGCAGTAAGGAGGCCTGATGGTTAGACAGATTTGTTCCTTTGCTCACAAGCCTAGACAAAAGTTCCACTTTGTTCAGCATCTGCTTTGGAGTCATGAGCGAATAGTTTGATTAGTAGCACATTACTTATGTATTTATTGGTGCTTTGATCAGCAGCACTCATTGTAATCAGTAAATCAATTAGCACCACAAACTCAATCTTGGTCTTCTTTTCCTTTTAATGATCTAATTCTAATTCCCCTCTTGTAATCGACGCCTACTATTACAACCTTCGCATGCATGCCAGTTTGCACGCCAATGTGTGCCACAGTATTTTTAGGCCAGTTGGAAACGGTGTGTGAGGGTAGATAAGCAGATTATTTAAGGTTATTAAGATTTCACACACTGGGGCGAGTCCACACTGTGTAGTTGCTGCTGTGCCTCTGCAGCGCTGCTGCTGCGTCTCCTTTGCAACTTGGCTGACACCTCCGCTGCGTACAGCTGCCATATGGTCGACCGGTGTGTTTTGTTATCACCTGGCAGTGACACTGACATTGTTAATCAGGTCCAATTATAACAGCCTCATGAGCTGAAGTGGACACCGTTATTGAATTCTTGTGGTTTTGAAAGAATCGAAAACATCCTTTGAGTGAGTTCTTTGAAACAACCGAAGGCCTGCGTGCCATTTGTGGATTTGTCTACTATTAAACTGGCTTTTATATTGCAGCGAGTGAAGTGACTAAGGCCTTTACCTATACAACAGTGCAGGCACATTTATTCCAGGAACAATAATATGCTTTGAAGGATGTTACCTGCTTGAATAAAACAGTGTCGCATTGCCCTTTCAAACATGTCTGGAATGTGCTTTGGCTGTTTTAATGTAGAGAGAGTTGAAACTTGCTCAAAGAACAAAAAAACTTTTCTTCCACCGCTAATACAGAGGGATCCCAGACGAGCCAGACAAGGAATAGTGCAGCAGCTCATGATAACTGGTGAAAATGTCAATTTAGACCAATGTAAAGTCAAGCTCCGTTGTAGCCTAGAGAGATCAAATGAGACTGGCTGTCATTCTTGGTGAGAGGTCAGACTGTCTCACCATGTTTTTGTGTAGGAGGTTTGGCTCAGTGCGAGTTTCTGCAAATGGCCTTGTACAGCCTTTGGTGGTTTGTGAATCATTTGGAGTTGAGACAAGTTGATGGCTTTTGAATGTGTGTGTGTGTGTGTGTGTATTTGTGTGTTCTGTTTGGTGTCATTTGTTATCACCACCATCATCTTCACCAGAAGCTGTTATTCTCGATGCAGTATGTCACGCCATCAGCGAGGTAGACATTTGGAAGCTGTGGTTGTAATGATAATGAGCTGGGAGAGACGTTCTTTCAGGATCCATTTGGAAATCTTTAAGCTCTGCTGTGCTCTGCCCCGCGTTATTTACCCATTTGCATTTTAACCAGCCTGACGACTCTATATTCCAAACGATTTCTCTGAATCCTCTCACAAAACATTCTGTTTAATGCATGTCGCCTTGCTCGCTAAACTCCTAAAATGTAAATTTGCTGACGTGTGCTCTTGGGGTTTTCGAAGCATTGTCGGGCCCCAACAGTGCTTTTAGCCCAGTTACCCTGGCTAAAATTCCTCGCAGCACCCATGGGCTCAGTATCCTCGTGAAAGGGGCCTGCGGCTCGGCTCCAGATGGCCGTCTGGATAGACAAAGCCGTTTTAGTGCCTCGTCCCTGCTACATTACTCAAACGTTATCACCCCTGCCTACAAAAATCCATCTGTGCTCACGCGCTAACTTGAAGATCCATCATCCTGACACTTGTATTGAAACAATGACAATAATGACAGCACGAGATAGATCTCAGAACAACACCATGCACGTTTAAACTGGCAACATTTGTCCTGAGATCAATTTTTGGAAATGGAGTTGTCAGCAGAAATTGTACTTTCTTTTTTTTTTATTTATTTATTTATTTTTTTTTCTGTAAAGGAGGAGCGTTTAAATTGTGCTCTCTACATATTTATACAGAGAAGCTGTATATCTGCGCCCCATTGTTTTTGCAAGCTTGACGGTTTTAATGAGGCCACAGAAGAGTTTCTCCTACTTAACTTTCTGTTGTGGTAGAGTTTCAGTGGGAATCAATGAAGGATTTAGAATAGGTTTAGGTTCCTCGCTCACTCCGTCTCTCTCTTGCTCAGTCTGACACACAAGGATGCACGTACCCACGAACACGCACACGCACGCACACTCGCCTCAGCTCTTGCTGACTAATTGGGTACAGATGCTGACTAGTGTGATCTTACAGCTTGTGCTCCTTGTGCATTTGTCTGCGTGCGTTTTTATGTGTGATTGTACATGCATGTGTACACACATGCAAGCCAACTCCAGCTAATCAATCATCCACCTCCACTGATCTATACTTCTGCATAGACTGTGCGTCCCTGCTTGTCTGCAGTGCCGCAGCCTCCTGGTTCTGACTCCCACTGCATATTAGCGCGCACACTGTTTCCAAGCGATGGAGTCTTCCTCCAGTTTTGTTACAAATGGCTTTGTCCAACCGAATCACCATCTAGAGTCATCTTTGTAGCCTCACTCCCGTATTATTTCTAGCTTCTGTCCTTCTGTCTGTTTTTCATGATTTTCTCAAATAAACCATTTTTCTTTTTCCCCCTCACTGTATACGCCCTCTTTCTCTCTGTCTCTCTCCTCTATAAGTTCAGGTCATATATATTACAGGTCTTGTAGGTCAAAGAATTCTTTTGTGAGGGGTTTGATTTATTTGTGCATTTATATGTGCTGAGCGCTTGAGGAGGCACTCGCTCTTGCATGGTTTGCCCTGTGGTGTGTGTGAGACGAGGCCAGTGACCAGTGATTCTCTGACAAACGAGGTGTGCATGTGCCTCCACCAACCCATACATTACTGTCTGACCCTGTCTGACCAACCAGACACCAGCTTACTGGGGGAATTCAGGGAGCATGCATGCTGACGCTCTGATCCTTTTATATCATTAACACTCGAAATAGCTCAGGTATTTTACTTTTCACTTTCCTTGACAGATAAGCTCTACACTTTCACGACTGTTGTACACATTTGAGAGTTAGTATAACTAAAGTCTTGCACTAGTGGCACCAAGCGACTCCACTGGAACACTTTCACGTTAACTACCTTGCTCAAAGGCACCTTGAGAGTCATACGAAGCTTTCCAAAACGGGTTCCCAGGGCAGATCTTACCCTTCCCGTCGCTGTTGGACTCATTGATGCAAGGTTACTGTGTTGCTGGTCACAAGCCTGTGTCTCATTGCTCCTGTGATAACATTTCAAACATTTTGGTGGTGAATTAGCCTCTGCTCACAGGTGGTGCTATGACGACGGTGTATCCTAGCAGCTCTAATTGTTTGTTTGTCTCATCTGTTCAGGTTCATTCAGGAGATAGAGATGAACATGGGGCCAGGTCAGGCCAAGCAGTGCCAGCTCCGAGCCTTCCTCACTTACTACATTAATGACCTCTTCCTCAACCAGGTTAGTGAAATGAAAAATTGACGCCTTGTATTCTGACAAAGTGGCACATCAGCATTCAGAGCAATGCTTTAGTTGAACATGGAGCTTTTCCAGATTTTTTGTAATAAGAACTCAGCTATGGGACACTGATAACACCATATAACAGACTGGTACTCACTTAATATTAGCAACATCTTTTTATTGTCTGTTATTGAAAGTCACAGTCTGTTCTTGCCACTTAATAGCTGGAACCTTTCGTACGATATTAGATATTTAAAAAGATGTAATTGTAGGGCCCTTGAATTGAGTCAATTGGCTTAAATGTTGTGCTGTACCTTTTCAGCGCTGCTCAAACTTTGATAGAACGAGATAACACAATGGCATATTGCTGGGGACCATAGTACTCACCCTGTCACTATTACCTCAGTAGCTGTTCTCACCCAACTGCCATTTAATTTCCACACTGATGGTTCGCAATTGATGGCCACCTGAATAGCCAGAGGATAAATAGATCACTTCCTGTGTGCTGGTACATAATAATACATAATTTGTGCATAACATAAAACATCTCTTTGTCCTTTCATGTGTCATGTGGTTTTAAAGCAGCTTTAGTCACATAAATGTAAACTTCTGCATTGTACACCCTCAGGTTTTATCAAGAAATGTCAACCATTAAGCCGCTTAAACAATGTGCTTTACCCAGACGACCATATGGAGCTTAGCAGTGCTTTACATGAAATATTAGAAACTGCTTTAAATTAAAAAAAAAAAAAGAAACTGCTTTAAATTGCGGTGGCATTTGTACACACCGATGGGAAGATCATCTTCACTTTCTGGAAATGCCAAATCAAACCTAAACAAAACACACACACACACATACACAAATAGTTAATTACAACCTGAATTCTAAACACAAACTTGATTTTTTTAATTACTCTAGCTTTATTCCATTGAAACATGATCCATCTAATTTAAACTTTTGACACTGAACCTTTAGGTGCGAACAGAGATCAACAAGGAAATTGAGGCAGTGAGCAAGGCATCTGACCCACTGAAGATCCTTGCCAGCGCTGATACCATGAAGGTTCTTGGCGTCCAGAGACCCCTGCTGCAGGTGAGGAACATACTGTATATGCATTCTCAAGACACCAAATATACACTTACATAGAGGGAATGAATAATAATGAACATCTGTATAGTATAAGGCACTTCTAAGTCGACACCAGAAGCTTCAAACTTATCGGAATAAGGGTTCCTAAAGGGTTCTTCTTTAAGGACTGAGGGTCAACCCAGAACCATTTGTTTCTGAGGAACCCCCTTTTTTGAAAAAGTGTTCTTCAGAGGTTCTTTATAAGGCTAAGGTTTCCATTAGGAATCCTGTTCATCCAAAGAACCCTTTTTGGAAGAGAGAGTTCTTCTTTTGAAAGCATAGGTGTTAAAAAATTCAAATGGTTATCTATGTTTAAAATAGGGATGCACCGAAATGAAAATTTGTGGCCGAAGCCCAATAAAATTAAACTCTTGGCCGAGTACCGAATGCCGTTGTTTAGTTTTTCATTCGTTTTTGCAGATGAACCTCCTCCAGATTAGTGTTGTCACGGTACCAAAATTGGGACCCACGGTACGATACCAGTGAAAGTATCACGGTTCTGAGTAGCATCACGATACCACAGCGAAAATGAGGCAGATGTGCCTTTTGTCATGTATAAAAAGATAAATGACTTTTCTATAATACATCAATGATATTTCAATGGAATAAATTACTTATTGACTTATTCATACTTCAAAAACAGCATCAATAAGTGATTAACATAGGGGGGATCAAAATAAAATAAACAAATAAAATAAAAATCAACCAAAAATCAACCAGCCACCCTCCTCCCCTGACAAGTTAAGAACAGTCCCTAAAGTGCGGTGAGGTTTGTGGACCGTTACCTGCCACAAAGAGAGAAATGTGAACGGCTCGTTTCTCCTCTGACACGTCACATACCGTGTGCCGCCATGGCTCGGCTGTTCAGGTACTTTTGGTCAGTCATGACACCAACAAAGTCTTATTGGACCTGGAGCCGGGCTTCTCCGTCGCCGGTAAGCCGCTATCTTACGCCGCGGAGCAGTATGACCGCCGTATTTGACAGGAATACATTCCTGTCTCTGTCTATGTCTGTGACCCCCGTTCAACCCACAACCGGCAGGATTCGCCTTTCGTTTCTGCTGCTAGTTGAAATCTGTACTAGCACAGCGTGCTCCTGAATGATTTATTTTGCTCGCACAAAACTATTTTTAGTTGCAACTGCTGACATTTTACTCCGTCCATCACCGCACGCTGTTTGAATGCGTCATCAAAACACGCCGCTATTATTAGGCCTTGCTTTTCACGTATTCAACCGAATACCGAGTGTGTGTTTTTTTGCAATATTCGGCCGAATATATTCGGTTACCGAATATTCGGTGCATCCCTAGTTTAAAATGGTATTTTTAAATGTAGATGTATCTGGAATCCACTTAATCTATCAATTTACCTGTGTTCTGTCAGAGTTGATGTCTTTATCATCGTTTTATGCCATATAGTACCACATGGTCTACAGAAATTCTCTTTTTGTGGATACCCAGTACTTAGCAATTTGTATTTGGTTCTAATTTGAAACCGTTTCTCAGCTCTCAACCCTGCTGCTTCATTGAAATAGTAAAGACTGTCGTCATAGTGATTTCACTAAATCTCCACTCTTTATTCTTTTTTGCTTGGACATTGATACTGGTGTAATTGACAGTTCAGACTGTGAACGCTGGATGTGAACAGCCTTTGACTTTTGGTGACACAAGTTCTCACACACATGCACGCTGTGTGTATGTAGCACATCCTCATGTGAGCAGTTAGTGAGGCTTAAAAAAAAAACACCCTGCCTGTTTGTTTGGCACCAGTTCTCCATTGTACAATGTTGAATGGAGGAGTGCTCTCCTGTGTACACTCACCTCGCAGTTCTCTGTGATCTCAGTTTGTTCCAGGGGCAGACACACACACACACACACACACACACACACACACACACACACACACACATACACTTTCACCCTTCTGTTTTGCTCTCAGATCATTATGCCCACCCTGCCACCAATCTCACAGGATCATAATTGTGGCTGAAATAGCACTTGATCTTTGAGTTTGTAGCTGTTGCTAACTGGTGGTTATATAACTTCACACTTCCCAGTTTTGGACAGACACACCATGAATGTGTCACCACTTGACCACACTACCAGAAAAGGAACATAGCTTTGGTGTGCTTGTGCTTATTTTAGAAATGTCTTTCTATAAGGTGCGAGCTTTGTGTGAGTGCAAGAATACATTTGTCTATTTATGTGTCTATGTGAGAATCAGTATTTCCCTTAAAAATGGTCAGCTTACTCATGAAGCAAAAAAATCCCTACCCTTGCTGGCATTTTTCAAAGCAGATTTTGGTTTTTGTGTGCTGATCTTTTCAGAGATCCACTTCCAAAATGTGTGCTGCCACCCCAGCACAGCAGAGGTGAATAGAATTCGTTTTGTGCTGCACAAAATTACATTTCAAAAAAATTTCTATTCAAAGAAACAGTCCAAATATAAATTGTCAAAGTTAGCTGTGAACTACAAACTTAAACAAAAAAATTAACTGCCTCATTGACTGCATTGCATTTAACCACAGGCTCATCTTGCTTATTTTGGCAGACTTTCTTATTCCACACAGGCTCATGGCAGGTTTAGGATTACAGCAGTGCCAAAGTCAAGATCCAGACAGTTGGCAAGATTTTTCTATGTCTCAGCTGTCTGATATTCTGAATTTTGGGGTGGAGTATGGCTGTCTTTGTCTGTTGTAAAAATGTATGTTTCTCATGCATGTTTCTTCTCAACACGTCTGTGTGTGATGTGTGTTTGTCCATGCAGTTGTCAAGGAAGACAGTGTCCCAGAGAGGTAGTTTGTCTGTGCTGTGGGTGTTTGTGTAGCAGACCTTGGATATGTGTTTGCCAGTGTGTGTGTGTGTGTGTGTGTATGTGTGTGTTTTGCCGAGTGTTTGTTTCTGTCAGAGCCTTCCTGTCTGTGTGCCTGGTTCTCTCACAGGGAGGGAACAGCGGTGGCAGATCATTACAGAGAGAGAGACCGTGGGCGTTTGGAGTTCAGCAGGGTTTGTTTACGGCTCGGGCCCCTCCTTAACGAGCAGTGCAGCATCTTGCTAATTATGCTGCTGTGGCTAATGAGCCTTTCTGCTGATAGTGGGGAGTGCAATAAAACACTCCTTTTGTTTGGGCTTTTTTGCCTTTTTTAATTGGGCTAAATAAAAGAGTCTTGCGCTCTTCTTCTCCTGCCATTCACATTCTAGGGTCAAGATGGCATTTTTGTGTGTTTTCGGTACTTTTTCATGTGTGCATTTGCATTCGTGTGAGTGTGTTTTGCTAACTGTGTGTGGTTGTGTTTCGGGTCTCCAATTTGAGAGCCTTCCCACTGTTTTCTTTGATCGCCTTCATCCCCAGTGTCACTGTTACGACAGACGGCTCTCTTCCTCAGTGTGTAGTTTTTATTCACTTAGTTGTCATGAGAGCTTTTGGTAAAATGGTTTGACACCTTTTTATCCCAAAAGTATGAACTAAAGTAGGTTTTTGAACTTGGTTTGCACAAAGTACTTCCTGTCAGGAGCTTCTAACTGGCCAGGTGGTGAATCCACCAACTCTGCGACTGCAATGGATGATTAAAGATTATAGTGACAGTACTATATAATGGTTGCTAGAGTTTCCAGTGATGGAGCAGATGTGATCGTGTGTGCGTTTGTGTCTACATATCTTTGAGTGCGAGCATGTTCGTGCGCACACATTTACTCTATGTGCTCCCTCAAAGTGCAACGATACTTCCTGTGCCAGGTGTTATCAGAGGGAGACACACACCGCTGGCATCAGAGCCGGCGTGGTGACGAGAGGGAGGGAGCTCAATATTGCCACACCACATTAAACACACTCTCTCATACACCTTGGCTGGAGCCACATACGGAAAAACCATAGGGGAGCACATTTTATAGACGCATCTGCTCCCTGCGACCACTGAAGCGCACACTGATGTGTGTAATAGTTTGAACTGGAGGAAGACATTAACGTTTAGCATGTGTGGTTGGTATGTTCCGGAATTGAGTCGAGGAGCCAAACAGAAATGTACTGGCACACATGCATATGCCACTGCACACAGATATCTTTTAAAAGACTTGTTCAAAATCAAAAATGCGCATTTTTCCTATTACCTGTGTGCTATATCAATCTAGATTGTTTTGGTGTGAGTTACCAAATGTTGGAGATATCCGCCATAGAGATGTCTGTCTTCTCTTGAATATAATGGAACTAGATGGCACTCTGCTTGTGGTGCTCAAGGCATTTTCTCTCCGGAAATAATGACCCAGTTACTCAAGATAATCCACAGACCTTGTTGTGAGCAGTTTCATGTAGGAACTATTCTCTCTCTACCGAAATACATCCACCAACCATATCACCATGCAGAAGGAAGCGCACATTTACTCATGAATGAGAAGCTATGGATGTGTTCCGAATGCCATACCTATTCTTTTTACTTTTAGTGGATACTGCAGCTGCCCTTAAGAAGTATCCTATTGCACGCAGTATGCACACAATCGGGACATACTACTTTCTCATAACATTATGCACTGAACTTTGACCCTTATGCTTTTATATCAGTTACCTTGGAGATAAACAAACGCTGTGCAGAGGATTGTGGATCCGAATAGCTAGAAAGCATGCTGGCTTGCACACTGCAAAATGGTACCGGATGTACAGTGGGAGAACATCCTGGTGCTTTTTTCACATACTATGTATTTGGACATACTAAAAATGTTTCTAGTGTACTGGATAGCATGGTAGGATGGATATTGGAACACACAGTAAAGCTCAGACGTGGAGGACACCAGGATGCACTCTTCCTACTGCGAGGGGATACCACTGGTGGGTTTAGCTCAGTAAAAAAGAAAGTAGTCCCTACGTGAAATTGCTCACAACAAGGTCTGTGGATTATCTTGACTTACTGCATCATGATTTGTGGTAAGAGACATTCTCGTTGAGTTTTTCAAATGTATTTTTTTGGCACTTTG